CAATCAACTGATTACAATTAACTGATTGATTCACTGGTAGTTGAGTTTAAAAGTGATTGAAATAGAAAAGGAAATTATATTTTTTGAATGAAAAAAATTTCTTTCTTTGGGTGAAAATGTTACCATGATAAAAGATGAGGATGAGGGATAAGGATGAAAAGTAAACCGGAAATAGTATTTTAAGGATGAATGAATCTAAAGTGCCGATGCATTGAGCCTGAAAGAAAATGAAAGAGAAGATGATTCCTCTGATTTAAATAAAGAGAGAGAGAGAGAGAGAGATAAATATATACAAGATGAGGTGGAAAAGTTGAAAAGAAAGGCGAAGATGAGAAGATGAAGATTAAGATGAAATGATGCAAATGGTAAAAGTTATGAATTAACAATACACTTCATCACTGATGAAATTGCTGTTGGGATGAAGATGATGATGATGATTGAAATGGGACAAGTAAAAAAACAAGGGATCAACAAAACAAATGTAATATAACAAGTTAATCAACAAGATTAGACAGAGAGATTAATAAAAAAACGTTATTGATGAGGATGCTCAGGGTTACTATGGAAACCGGAAGCTGATTCAACCATCATATTTGACATCATCTTCATCCGCATCATTTGTAATCATTATCCTTGACATCTTGTCAACCTTTACAGATAATTTCATTGGATTAGGTTATCCTTTCAATAATCAAAGGTTAATCTGGTTAATCAATAGCAATCAAGGGTATTAAAGTTGATCTGTAACCTTAACAATTAACTAATTGTTTGGGCTGTTAGATTTTTCCTTTTTTCTTTTAACTTTTAAATTTTTGCCTAATGAACTTTGAACATCAAGTGTGATTAAATTAATTGCTACCGTTTAATTTTTACTTATTATTATTATTGATTACTATGATTTGATTAAGTATCAATCATTTCAAAGGTTAAGTTGATTGATTAGTTGAAATAACTAATTCAATTGGTTGACAATTGATTAGTTAATTGTAATTATAGCTTCTTGTTTTTTTCTCTATGTAATATCATCACTAATCATTAATCTCACATAATCTCATTGATTGTTACTCTTTCTCCCTAATTGTTTCTTTCACCTTTTTAATTGTTACTCCTCTTCCTCTTAATTATGATTAAATTTAATCATCACTTGTTAATGAGGTTTGAAACATCACAAAATGATAATGTTTAACAATTAAAATGACAAATTGATTGTATAAAGCAAAACAAAACAAAACAACTCACAATCAATGCTACCGGTTTAATTGTTACAATTGATATCACCATAGATTAAGATTAACTCCTTAATTTAGCGGTTAATCACATGAAAAAGTTAATCATTGAAACAATTAATCCTTAAATAGGTTATCCTTAATTGTGACTAACTTTTCGTTGAAAGTTTTTCTTTTCATTTTGACTAAAATATTTCCGAATTGAGGTCATAACGTTAACGATAAATTCAGTGACAAAGGTAAGGCGATTATCGTTTTGTTCAAATGTAACTTTGAGAGTTTACGAAAAGAGATGAGAGATGATCAATGTCTCTGGGTATTAATAAGAAGGAGATGATGATGATGATGATGATGATGAAAAGAAAACAATCAAAGGTATTATTCATATGTAGATATAAGTTAAGAGTCTTTTGTTTGTTTGAATATATCAACTGTCAGGGTGAGTCTTAAGTCTTCCCTCCTGGTGGTGGGTTAAGGTTGTGGTGGAAGACGGAGAGTGATAGACAGAGAGAAAGAAAGAGAAAATAATAGACAGAGAAAGAAGGAGAGAGAGAGAATGACAAAAGCAAAGTGAGAGGGAAGAAAAAAAGTATCACTCTCTTTTGTAATATAACGAACCCTATTGAGTGTCTACGTGTCGTCTACCTGAGTATCTCTAGAAGTGTTTATGTGTCTATGTCACCTTTCCCTTTTTTTTGTCCTCCTCCATCATCATCATCATCTTTTCATCTTGTTCATTATCAAAATCATCATCTTCTTTGTATCGAGAAACACACACATATAAATATCTTTCTCTCTCAGGAAGTGATTCGAGGACTTGAAAAACTGTCAAACATAAACACTTATCATAGACTATTATCAATATATCACAACAATAATACCATAGAGCGAGAGAGAGAGAGAGAGAGAGAGACAAACTTTTAGGTTCCTTTGCATAAGTTTTACTTGACTCGATGTCGATATGAGTGTGTATTTGTTACCAAAGGCGTGCATTTAATGTCCAAATTCAATTGTTCATTGGACAATGAAATCGCACACAGAGAGGCTCGAAGGGATCGAGAGAGAGAGAGAGAGATATTAACATTTACCTACGACACTCATTGACTTTATATTCATATGACTTTTGGATAATGGTTAATATATTGACTACCTTTTGTAAACATTTAACAATTCAAAGTGATAATAATACAATAGGTAAACTTAATGATCGTTGAAAGTGACACAAAAACAGCAACAATTGTCCGTAGGTATTGTCATCTAATATTATTAACTATCCTCTTAACAAGGGGATAAAGCAAACAGTTAATCACAAATGTGAATCAGTTAATTTAATCTCAATTGTATTGAAATTGTCAAAGAAATTATTTTTCATTATATTTCTCTTGAGCTTTGAGATTTGTTAAATGTTGAATGCTCAAATTGTCACGATGATTATAATATATTGATGATGATGATGAGGATGATCAAGATGAGGATGAGGATGATAATGATGGGTGCGAGTCTTAAACTGTAAATACATAATAATAATAAACAAGTTTAACCTCAAGTATCAAATATAACAATTGATTTTCCAATACAAACTAACAACTATTGCCCATTTATAATACATAACAATAATAATCAATATCTACACAATAATGGACCTTGAAATTATATTGTAACAATTTAAATAAACTTCTTGATTGTTGACTGTTAATTTTTGCCCATATTCATTGTTACAACTGTTTCCCTCTCTCTTGAGGCTCGAATCAAGTCTCGAGTGTGATATGTACACAATCAATAGGAATCGATCACTAATATCGTTTAAATGTCTCCAAAATTTAGCTAATCAATTCCCTCGATAATCATTAACTGATTTACTAATGATAATCATCTTGTTATCAATACATTAGAAAAGTGATTAAGCTTTTCATTTTGATTTACCGTTAAATTGACAACAATTTGATAGTTTGAAAGTTAATTGTGATAACATGATTGTCAATCATTTTCCTCTCTCTCTCTGATTTAATTGTAACGGTTTATTTTAACTTAAATCATAAGTACATTGGACTTGATTAACTATATTATTAATCAATGAGCTTAATCTTATTGATCACAAGTAACAAAGTCCATTGTGTTTAATGATTAAGTTATTGGAAAGTATTTGATTAATCATTAGCCAAGAATAAAAAAAAGAGGTTTAATCTTAATTGTTTGAATATGATAAATCAGTGGGAAACAATTAAATTGTTGTCAGATAATATTATAACAATTAGCAAAGATAATGCCAATTACCTGGATCCTGAATGAAAAAAAATTGATTGTATCAATGTAACTTGAGGTTTAAATTGTGATCAACAATCAATAATCAATCAATTGATATATAATAATATTTTGTTCAATGTGATCAAATTAATAAGATGAATAATCATCACTAATAACTAATTATTAAGTGTAATTAAACTAATCAACCAATCAAGTGAAAGCAATCAAAAAAAAATAGTTACATTGATTTCAATGGTTCCAAATTGATGATGATTATTATTGAGGAGAAAGATGAAGATGATGATCAAGATGAGGATCAAGATGATAAACATGATGATCAACTAATATAAATATATATTGGTGACATTCCTTGTTGATAGTTTTTCTGGAAAGATTTCAAATTTTGATGATGAACAAGAAAAAAAAAACTAACACATAAAGAGAGACACAAACGTGAACCTCGTAAATTTGCCCGTAGGCGTTTTCAAGTTTTCATTTCAACAAAATAATAATAAACTGATGATGAGAATCATCATCATAATCATTTGCGAGCGAAATTTTTTCCTGGATAAATAAAATTATCATGAAAGTTACAGAAAATTGATCAAGGAAAGTTAATGATTCCGATGATGATATTAACCTTATCAAGATAACATGTGAACATGATGATGTTTCAGTGATCATCATGATCGTCATCATGATTGAACATTTTAATATCTTCTTCAATTTGGATCAATTTTATAGGATAGAAAAGTTTTATCGTCTCTTCTCTCTCTTACCCAAACCATCATCATCTTCATCTTCATCTTCATGGTTTTTGGTTAACATCATAATCTTAAAGTGAACATTTTCATCTTCTTTTTATAGGAAAATCAAAAAATTCTTTTAGAACCGATCGAATTTAATGATAATGATGAACAAGATGTAAGAAGATAATACTCAGCATATTCGTAACTTTCTCTTTCACTTTTTGGAGTTTCAATTTTTCCAATTGGAGAAAATTTTAACTATTACATTATAAGAAGTTTGTTATAATAACAATTTCTAAATAAATGATGACTATTACAAAGAAGATGCTTTTGTTTACATTTTGCCTTCTTTTCTTTTATCATCCTTATCTTCATCTCTATTCGAAGGTTCAAAATTTTCTATAAATGAAACAGTTCAACTTCTTTGTTTTACAAACTCAACTTGGAATCAAAAGTTTTCATGGACAATCAAAACTCACTCGAAATGAAAGAAACATCATCTCAATTGGGATAATCTGTTTGGAGTCAATTCTTTAGTCTACTTGAAAGAAAATATCTAATCTGTTGTTGATCTTTCTCGAAGATACTAAAGAACTTAAAGGATTCAAGAATCTCGACCGTTTCAGGTCAAAGTAGATTGTGGAATTGACATTGAATCGATTGTTCCAAATGGATTGAACTTTTTTGAATTTTTTCGAGTGGACTTTTTTTCTTCCTGCTGATTTTGGAGGTTGGTTGTTTAGGGATTTTAAAGGTTATTATTATTGTTTGTTGCTCTTACCTTCCAGATTTGGTGATAATCATTTCGGTTCCAAGTTCATTGAATTTATCCCAAAGATCTTTATTCTCAAGGTGACATTTAATTCCAGCCAATTCTTCACAATTACATTTGGGCTTAATCGCATCCGCATATGGATTAGGACCACCTCCCCCTCTCTCCTCTCGACTGGACCTTTCACCTCTTTCACCATTCCCACTGCCCCTTTCACCTCCTCCTCCGCCACAAGATGAAGATGAACCATCTTTAGTTGACCCGGTGGAAGGTGAAGGTGAAGGTGTCCCTCTGTCCAAAGTACCGGACATTGGACGTTCGAGTTCACTGATTGATGGAGATCGTAAAGGAGGTGATCGAGTTATCGGCGATCGACTGGTGGCCGGTGACCGAATAGGTGGAGAGTGGGAATCATAAGAAGCCTCCATTGGCGGTGGGGAAGACGAATTGTAATCAACATCAATCGACGGAGGGGAAATCGGTGGAGGTGAATGATTAGCATGATGATGATGATTGTTGTTGTTGTTGTTGTGATGATTAACCGAGACTGAAGTTGATGATTTTGAATTGATTGTTGAAGATGAAGATGAATTGAGTCCAGTTAAAGGTAAAACCAGTGAAGGTACAAAGGGAGGTGATGAAGACGAACCTCGAAAAGAGGTTAATTGTTGTTGGGAATTAAGATGATGTAGATTATGATTAAGCTGAGATTGTGGTGAACCAATTAACTGATTGTTAACAATTGAATCGCCATTGGAACGACCCATAATCGCCTCAATTGAAAAGTCGGTTGAAGGTCGATTACTATTATTGGAAACTGATTTACTATTATTAACATTGTTCCCATTGGAAGAGGTTAAAGGTTGACCCCTGGTTCCTGAGCGAGTTGATTGTGTGGACATTGATGAACTTTTACTACGATGATTTAGATGATGATGATGATGATGGTGAGAATGATGATGAGGATGAGGATGGACAATATGATGACCACTACTCGAATTGTTTAAATTACTATTATTATTACTGTTACCACTTTTCCTCAAACCTGAGGTCATAACTAAATCCAAATTGGTAATAAGCATCTAGATGATGATAAAAAAGATCCAAATTAACAAAACTGATCAATTGTCACAAGGAAAAAAAAAGGTAAACAAAGACAATTAAAGTTAATCTATTATCACATAAGAAAAGTGAGAGAGAGAAAAAAATCCAAAGTTTAACTTAATCTGGATTAAGTAAAAGAGATAAAAATATCAAAGAGATTAAGACAAAAAGTCACTAACGAAACAATATTAATCCAATGTAAAGATACAAGGTAAAAGGTAAAAGGTTATACTTTGTACTTTGATGATGATGACGAAGATGATGATGTATGTCAATCAATGGTGATGATAATAAATTATTATCATCATCTGAATAATATGAGAAGAAGATGAGGATGAAGAGGACGAAGAAAAAAATTAGGAAAAAAAGGAAAAAAAGAAACAAACAAATTCTAAACGTTGAGAGAACGTTTTGGTTTAAGAGGTCATATGAAAATTGGATAAAAAAAGGATGAGGAGAGTTGATGATGAGGATGAAGAAGAAAAGAAGAAGAAGAAAAAAGAAGGAGGAGGATAAAGAGAGAGAAGAAAGAGAAAAAGAAACATTTCTTTTATTTTCTCCAAAAATCAACCAATACAAATTCATTTTCACCTTTCAATCTCCTCCCATTTTTCACATTCTACTCTCCATGTAACACGAGTTAAACTCCTCCCCTTAAGCTTTTCCTCCATTGGGTAAACTCCTCCTTCTACTCTCCCCCCTTTTTCTCTGTTTCTCTCTCTCTCTTTTTCTTTTTCTTCTTCTTCTTTCTCTCTTTCCTTTCATCATCATTTTCATCATCTCCTCTCCTCATCATCACCACCACTTCCACCCTGTTCCACCTTCAACTATCCCCAATGAGAAAAAAACATTGGAAAATATGAAATTTCATCTTCTCTCTTTGAATCTCTTTCTTTTCCCCTCTTCTTTTTTCCCTGTTCATCTTTTCCCACCTTCACCTTCACCACCTCCTCTTCCCACTCTCTCTCTCTCTCCATGTTCCTCCTCCTCTTCTTAATCAGGCGCCAAGGTGCCGAGTCCTCGGGTCTCTCATATCATAAACAGAACAAATTGAAAAGCAAAACAATTAAATAACATAATTAAAAAGCCGACACAACATCTTATAAGTTAATCATCATCAAGTATCATCAACAATTATCTCAGTTAATTGTCAGCAACCAAATCAACATGATAATAAAAAAATCATCATCCTCCATCCTCATCCCTCATCATCTTCCCTCTCCCCTTTAGATTTGATTGTTCATCATCATCTCACCTTCCAAATTATTACCTTCCGACTCCCTTAATATCAATATCATCTCTCTCTCTCTCTCTCTCTCTCTCTCTCTCTCTCTCTCTCTCTCTCTCTCTCTCTCTCTCTCTGAGATTAATTGACGCCAAATAATCATTAATCTCCTGGTGATTAATATCAATTAACAATTTACTTTTCTTGCTTCTGGATAATCATGATTGTCACTATTTACTCAACAATTGAAAAGTCTTTCCAATCAACACAATTACTTTAATTGTATATAATTTACAATTGTATCTCAGTAGTTAATTGTAACCGTCTAGTCTAGAGTAATAATAATGATTCTGATTTGATTGTGATAATCAAAAAAAAAAGTCAATTATGATTAGTTAGAATAACGGAAAAAAGTAATCAGTTAACTTTTAACTTTTTCTTTTGTTTCTTAGTTGTGATTTACTATTATCACAGTTACAATTAGTTAATTGTGGATGTAAAAAAATGAAACCATCATACGATTTGAATTAGACAATCACTTTTAATTGTAATTAGATTATCAGTTTTCATCTGTTGACAAGATTAACACAATTTTCATCACAATTTTACATGAAAAAGTTATGGATGCGACAACATTATTATCATCAACTTCCTGTTGATCATTTTAACCAGAATTCATGATGAAGATGAGGATGAGAATGATGAAGATGATGATGTCTTCTTTTCTCATCTTGGTGTTGGCTTGAATTCTGGTGAACATTTTGAAAGAGGAGGGAATATGAAATTTACACATTGAAATACTTTCCATGTTGTTGTTGTTATCATGATGATGAGGATGAAGATGATGATAATATCATTAGGATCTTGGCTCATTCCTTAACTACTGAGATACACAATAGTTAATGTTGATAATGTTAATCTGTTAAACTTCAACACATCGTTTTCAAGAGGAGTTTATCAAAGAGATGAAGTTGAGGATCAAAATGAAGATAATCATCATTTTCATGATGAAGATGATGAGGTAACAATTATCTTCATTCAATTCTCATCTTTAATTTTATCTTAATTCCATTGGAATTTAATTTTCTCATATATTATTATCAATTTTATCTCTCGAAATTTGATAATATCTTTGATAACATTTTCGAGTTCCAGTTTACATTGGAAACTTTTTCATTTTTCCTTTCAAATTTAACTCGATTGTTGATCAAATTACAAATGATTCATCATTCTCATTGTTATTAATTATCTTTAATTGTTTTTTATCGTTACTTTTATTTTGCTACTGTTAATTATCAACAATTTAAATTGTTTTATATTCACAATCTAATCTAATTTAGTTGATTTATTTTTGTTATTTATGTTCAATAGATTAATACCTTTCCTGGTTAGGGAGATTTTTTCTTTATTCTGTTCTGATGGATCAATTTTATTAGAAAATTTTCTTGATACAAATCAACGATTAAATTAACAATTAACTAATCATTGAAACTTATTCATTGATGGAAAAAGTGTGAGTCTCAAGTCGCCATCTAGTGGAGGGAAATACAACTAAATTTGCGCAGAAAATTCGAAGGTAAGATTTTCTTATGAGTCGAAAATTCTGAATAGTAAAAGTAACTCCATCTATTGGAAAAATTTATTCTCATTTTTTGTAAGAAAATTTTCAAAACCCAAAGTTGAAAGAAAAATTTATTCTTCTTTCCAAACGAAATAAGAAATTCGAAAATTGATTTACATAAATTCCCAATTTCTCGAAGAGTGTGAACAATATGAACGATTTCCAATCGAACCTTCAAAATCGAACCAACCAATCGACAATATTATTCAATTGAAGAAAATTTTTTCCAAAAAATTAGTTGATAAAAAAGTTCCAAAGGAAAATATTGCAACTTTCAATAGGCAATTAGAATAGAAAACAAATCGTAAACATATAATATCTTGATATTCAACAAATAGCTTGAGGGCATAGAGAGAGAATGTCTCCCTCTCTTCCTTTTATTAATCAGCAATGAGAGAGAAAGAGAGAGTAAAGGTAAATAGAAGCGATAAAAGAAAGAGTAAAGAAAGAGGAAAATCAACAATTAGACATGTTTATTTTCTCGCAATTGAATTTACCTTATAAATCTGAATAAATCACGTCTCAATTATACTCATGATCTTTTACTGAGTAAATTCATCATCATGGATACACAAGATATTGAGAAGGTTGTTGTTTAATTGAATTAATTTATTATTCTTATTCTTATTCTTATTATTACCTGAGTATCATGATCGTGATTGAATTTTTCTCTCCTATGAAATTGAACAAAAAAATAGCCATTGGATATTATATATTATATTATTTGTCTAAATTCTCAGCATGATGATAATCTTCAAGGTTATCATCAGGTTTTTTTCTCTCTCATCTTATTTATTCATCATCAGAATAATGATAATAATACATGTTGATTTTTCCATCTCCATGTAATTAATTAATTTAATTTTCCACTTACACACAAATTGTTTCTCTCTCTCTTTCTTATATCTAATTGTTAATTGTTTAATCTCATCAAAAGAGATAATCTTTTCATCTTTCAAGATGGAGAAGAAGCAAAAAAAGTTCTAAAAACTTTTATTTCTTTTACTTTCGAACGTGAAAACTTTTGAAATTTTCTATTAATTTCCAGAGATTTAACAACTGATTGTAATTAAATTGTTAAGGTTTTTTTCCCCTTGTTAAATTATCCACAATTTAAATGGCAATTTCTCACGCAATCAGTTGCAACAATTAAAGTTAAATACACACACACTAACATACTAATACACTGAAAGAAAGACACAAAATAAATTAACTTAATTGTTCAAAGGTAAATATGTAAAAATTGATTGTGTTTATTGTTATTTAGTTAATTGTTTAACACAAGATAACTATCATTCATTTATTATATTGCAGTTAATTGTTTCAATTGTTGTTGTTGTTGTTGTTTGATGATAATCCTTGCTAGTTAATTGTGTTTACTAAATTGTTTGTTGTTGTTGTTGTTGTTTTGTAATTCTCACTCATTATAACAATTAATAGATTGTCATGAATTCAAATCATGATGGATTGATTATAATCAAATTGTTATTGTTCAATTAAGTTGATTTTTTTTCTTATATTTATATAAATAGCAATTGAAATTAAATCTACAATCAAATTCAATCATTTTCATGATATAATCATGATAATCATCAGACAAATTGTTCACAATCAAAAGCAATCAACAACACTGACGCTTCTTTCTGTAATGATTAAAGTTTATTTGATTTAATTTGATTTTATCAACATAATTTTAACTCTTCATATCCAAACAATTTAAATCAAAATGATTAACAAATTTGATTCCAATTAAATATTCAAAGGATATTTTTTTTTTCTTATAAATTATCATCACAATTACATTAATCAAATTAGTGAGAAAAGTTGAGAAAAAAAATGCAAACTTAAATTGTAACTTGATCAATTCTGTGAATACAATTAGTTAATTGTTGCTAACCCAAATGATTAACATTAAACTAATTTACACAAATTACAATTAAAATGAGATATGAAAAAGTTAATTTCTCTTGAATTTATATATTACAATTATCAATATCTAACTTATCATATTCAACAATTAACATTTTAATTGTGTGTGATTTATTTTTACTATTGTGTTGTAATTGTTTTAATTAAATTGGCAATTTATCAAGTAACTGGGTATATAATACAATTGGTGAACAATTAAGAGGAAATATCATCTAAACAATTAGTAAATTGTTGTGACCAAAATGTGATGTTGATTAATTGTGAGAGCCAAAAAAAAAGGTAAACAATTAATTCAATCATGAAAATGAACTTAAACCTTTTCAGTTTGTATTAATTAATGAACTTGAAATAACATTTTCACAATCTACTTATAATTAACTAATTAATAGATGTTATTATGTTATTATCATATATAAATATCAATTAATCAAATATTGTCAGATTCAACTTAATCAATGATAATCAATCACCAACGAAAATAAATTGTGATGATTAACATGATAACCCAAAAATGAATGAAAAGTAAAAAAAATAAAACAGAAAATGTTGATCATCTCAATGACACTTTTCAACTACTTTTGTCAATCAAATTAAATTGTTGAGATAAAATCAAATCAAATTAATCATCACTCAAGTCCAACCTTAATCTTAAATCTTGTCATCCTCATCATCCTCATCATCTTCATCATCAACCGGTTCATTTAATCAACCAAAG